CTGCCTCTAGAGAGCACTCCCCATACTCATGGCTGGCAAAAGCAGCAATGGGTGACAGGAAGCGGTGGGTGGGTGGATGGGTGTTGTAGAGAGGGTGCGGGCAGGGATTCTCCAAAGCTATTCCCCACGAGCTGTCCAAGGTTTCCAACAGAATCTTCAGCTTTGGCATAACTAGAAAACTCCAATGATGGGATCACACTTTGAAAACTGCCACTTGCCCTGACTTTTAAAAAGCTCTTAGGCAACTAGTACCTTTGGACTCTGTAAGCCTCTTGCAAAATAATCTGTTGGCCCCTTTCCCCTGAGCACGGATGGGTCTGGACTTAATGGAGGTTTTTGGCAAGTCTCAGCTACAACTTGGCCAGGCTCCCATCCATCTACTTAGCAAACTATTGTATTCAGCTGAAAGCATCCCAGGCTCTCCTCAGCCCAAGCCATCCCTTCCCAGCTCCTAGCCAGTGGCTCTTGCTATCTGCTGCCTCACCTCCTACCCACTGCAGGATTCAGCCCCAGCACCCCCAATGAGCACTCAATGGTCTGCGAGTCACAAATCCCAAACACATGCTTGATGATCCTGGACTTGGGTGACTTCTAACACCATGCTTTCCTTTTACTGGCTTCAGATCCCATCACTATGGGGGCTTTAGTGTCCCTAAGCACTGGCCTGCTTCTCATTCCACCCTCACATTCTCCCTTACGTAGCCTTAGCCATCCAATGTCAATTCCCAATCCTCACGTCAGCTCAAAACTCTCCCCCAGACTTCAAAACCCTTTCTGGCTGCCATGTCCCTGCCCCAGGTTAACATCCAACATCCAGCATCCAACAAGGCACTGCTCTGGGTCCTCAAGCAGGAACTGCCCATCCTTGAGTTTGAGGACACTCGGGGCTCAAGCTGGGAAACTGCAGAGGTCACAGGTTTACCTGGCTGGGGATGACCCACAAGGCACTGCTGGGAAGATGGCATCGAAGCTGCATTTGGAAAGGCGGCTCAGGAAAACAGCATTTTTAACCCACACTATGGGGGCACTGACCACGAGGTACCCCCCAGAAGGCTCACCCAGCTTCTTTAACTTGGTGTTTTACCTCCCAGGCGGGGTGAGAAACGCTACAGAATAGATGTGTCTCAACCAACTGCAGCTCTTTGTGATGCAATTGTGATCATTTCCCTACCCCATTCCCCCAAATTCTAGTCTGGCATCAAATGGACATACCTTTGGACCCCAGTCTACTGGCTGCAGTCCCACCCTCACGTGATGCTCAGGAATGACCTCTCGGGCAGTGACAGCCAGAGAGAAGATAAGCAGGTCAGATGTTGGTATAAGACACCTTGAGGCTGTTTCATGTGTAACTCTGGGAGGAAACGCTCTAAAGAATAACACTCTGGCATTACATTTTCATTTCAATTACATCCAGCCTTCTAGCAGCCCCCTCTCAGCTGGGCTGCCCCTCCCGTGTCAGCCCACTGCACTGACCATATTGGGGACCCGATAGCTGCCCTGCTTCCCTCCATGCTGTGAGTCAGCAGGCACTCATTCCCATATGATGCACATGGCCAGCCCCACCCCCTCAACCCGACAAAAGCAGGCACAAAGAGGGAATTCCGGAGGTTTGACAAGAGCCCTCAGCCTCACCTGCCTTGTATGACATCATGCACACATTGTCACGCAATCATATCCCCAATCACTTTTTTTTAAAAGCACTCTACCAAGAGAGTTTACAAGTCTGCGCCTCCACCAGCCACTGTTACACTGGACTCTCACGGTACCACCTGCTGCAACCTCATCTTCCTAGTGATTAAAAGAAGACAGCAGCTCGGTGCAGAGAGCTTGGCACCAGGCTAGGGGCTCAAGGCACCTGCTTAGGGCATGTGGCTTCCCCTGCTATAAAATGCAAGTATTGGGAGGCCGGGAGAGAGGTCCAGGTGCCTGGCTTCAACCTGGCCCAGCCCTCTAGAGAGTGAATCAGCACACTGAAGGTCTCTCTGTCTCTCTCTCTCTTTCACTTTCAAATAAACAAATAAGTCTTAACATGAAAGAAATTATTTCTCTACTAACCAAGCCAACAATGGTCCCAGACCTCAAGGAACCAAGCCCCCTCCAATATGAGAGACAAGAGCATCCAGACAAACATGTGGGGCACTTGTTCTAATGTTAGGAAGACAGAGGGCAGGGGGCTGAGGAGCAGCCCAGAAGAGCTTCCTGGGATTTCCAGAGTTCTCTGGATGAACACTCTATCTACCTGCTTTTTCACCTCCTGACCTTAGTCCTCCAAACATGTTACCTCATCATGACCATCTTGTCACGAGGTTGGAAAGCTGGCTGCCCTGTCTCCCAGGGAACTCACCTGCCCCAGCTCACTGCATGCCTGGTGGGCACGCCATCAGCCCCTGCCCTCAGCACGCTTCCCCTCTGCCCACCTGGAACCCACAGGCTGGGGACACTGACTACCAAGAAGTATCACAAACTTGCTGGGAATGAACTCTGCCATCACTTCGACGGCTACTGTCTGCTTCCTCTGCCGCCACACTCAGGGTTATGGTCATACTTCAAGTGCCATGTATTGGGCACTACCATCACCCGCACAGTACTCAACATGGATTAAGACTCAAAAGTCAAGCATACAGGCCTGCAGCCCCACAATCAGTCTGCAGGGAAGATACTCAGGTGTCCTTTTAGGGTCCTGGGTAGCTTCACAACCCAGGACCCCTGCCCACTCGGTACCAAGCACCACATGGACCATGCTTGGAAGGACACACTCCCAATCTGTCTGACGGCAGCAGGCAGGCAGTGTCCACCAGGGTCATCTCCAAATTCCAGAACCTGCTGCTATACTTGGCACCTAGCAAAGAGTCAGAAAAGGCCTGCAGCTGGATCCCTCCAGGGTTAACTGTTCCTCCATCTCAGGACTTGTGCACTCACTGGACCCTCTGCCCACAACACATATCTCCCAGCAAATCCTCTTTGCTTTTTGGACTTAGCTTAAATGCCCCTTTCTCCAAGAAGTCTTCCAGGACTGCCACCACTTCTCTTCCTTAAACAGAGCCAGACCCGCTCCCCCCCTACTTCTCCTTTGTAGCTCTTCCAGGTTATAAGCTCAGAGCCCAGCGTGGTGTAGATTCTAATAAAACACTTGTAATGAACAAACAGAGCCACTACCAGCCTCACGTTCCCTCCGGGAGGGAGGCTGACCAGACGCCAGTACCCATGTCTGACGGACGAGGAAACTGCAACTTGGACACCTCCTTCTCTCTGTCACCTAGTGCCCGGTAGTCAGGAACACAGCCACAGACCCCTAAACGTGGCCATGCCTTCTGGAGCTCACAGCTGTCAGAGCCCAAGGACATGGAGACAGCCATGTGATGTCCTCAGAGGTGGCACCATGACAAGCTCATGTGTGAATTCTACATTTTTAGGATTTATTTGCTTTGGGCCCAGCACGATAACCATTGGCTAAATCCTTGCCTTGCAACCTCTGGCATCCCATATAGGTTGTGTTTGTGTCTTGGTTGCTCCACTTCCCATCCAGCTGTCTGCTTGTGGGCTGGGAAAGCAGTTGAAGACAGCCCAAAGCATTGGAACCCTGCACTCACATGGAGACCTGGAAGAAGCTCCTGGCTCCTGGGTTTGAATCAGCTCAGCTCCAGCTGTTGCAGGCATGTGCAGAGTAAATTAGCAGATGGAAGATTTTTCTCTATATATTTGCCTTTCCAATGAAAAAAAATTTTTTAAGAAATTTATTTATTTATTTATTTGAAAGCTAGGGCTACAGAGAGAGAGAGAGAGAGAGAGAGAGAGAGAGAGAGAGAAACTCTTCCCCATGGTTCTCTCCCCAGATGGTCCCAACTCTAAAGCCAGAATTTGGAACTCCATCCAGATCACCCACCTAAGTAGCATGCGAGCTTTGGCCATCCTCCTCTGCTTTCCCAGGTACATTAGCAGGGAGTTGGATCAGAAGTGGAACAGCCAGGACTTGAACCAGTGCCCATATGGGATGCTGGCACTGTACATGGTGGTCTAACCTGCTATAACACAGCACCAGCCCATATCTGTTCTGCTCTGGGAACATGGCTCAGCGATGCAGAGACACAAAGAAATCTGGGGCTCCACTCCCAGGGGAAGGGCTCCCCTAAAAATGTGCATTCAGGAGAGAAAACAATGGTTCTCCTGGGCATGCTCTCACGGAGCGATCAGACATCCCACAGGTGAGACACCATCGCTGCCAGGCTGGAGCAGAACACTGGCCCAGCTGGGCAACCCTGGACAACTCAGTGTCAATCTGGGCACAATGAGGTTACAAGTACTGCGCTCCCCGCAACAGTACTGTCATCGCTGCACACTGTAGCCAGGGCCAAAGCAGACAGGAACAGTGAGCAGTTCTGTGCAAGTACTAGGCAGGACCCTAGTGTCTCTAAAGACCCGGATGAGAGCGATGGTGTAGACACAGCTCCAAGGGATTAGGCTTTGTAGGTCTCTATCCACTTAGGGCAAGTGGCTTGCGCACATGCTCCAGGACTCCATTTCCCCATCTGTAAACTGTGAAACAACCATCACCTGCCACCTGGAGGTCGGCACGCTTATGTTTTTTTCTTATTTTTTTTTAATTGGATGCTACTAAAAAATAGTGAAGCCATTTCCTGGGAGGAAGGGACAGCGAGGGCCACCCAACAAGACACATGCAGCCAGTTAAAGGCAGCTTGTTCACAGTGGCCATCCCTGTGCCAAGCACAACCGTAAGTGGCAGTGGCCCCAGTTCCATGAGCAGCTGCCCGCTCAGGCCAGGACCTCCCGCATGCATGTTGGATTTTTCCATCAGGCATGGGAGCTGGAATTGAGTGAGCAAGAAAGATCTCTACTTCATCCCACCCCACCAAACAGCTCCAAAGGGGTGGAAAGCTGGGTGGGCTTCCTGGCTGAAGACACCAGGCCTCTCTGCTGCCCTTCTTCTCCATGGTGACTGCTATCTCTGAGCGCACAGACACCCATGCATGTCTGCTTGGCACTTCCACTGCTCCGCCACACATGGGAAGCTCAACCCAGGCAGCTGCTTCTGTACACGGGGCCAGGAAGCAGGCAGCTTGGCCACTTCTCTGCCTCCGGATGGGTCCCAGGGCTCTTGCCCCAAGAGAAAAACCACATGGCACAGCTTGGAAGAATCCTGGTGAGATTCTGCCAGCACCTCCTGGACCCTGTCCCGAGCCCCAGGGCAGTTGCAGGGGGAAAAGTCACAGTAGTCACCCTCCAAGAACATCAAGTCCAACAGGGCAAGACTAACACAATTGAACAGCTACGTGTTTAGGGGGCTCGGATTTCCAGCACCCACCAGAGGAATTCACTTATGGTTTGGCCCCAGAGAACATTCTCTACGAAAGAGAGAGTGAGAGGAGAGAGGGAGAGAAGGAGAGAGGGAGGGAGGGAGGAAGGAAGAAAGGAAGAAAGAGAGAGAAAAAAGGAAGGAAGGGAAAGAAACCTTAGTTTCGTTAATCTTTTCAGAAGTTGTATTTCCATTTTCTCTTTCACTGCCAGGAAGCATCTCCAATAATCTCGTAAGATTACACAAGATGGGATACCATGGACCAACATAAAATCTTATCATCTATACTTTTTCCCATCTCTTCTCTAATTTATCTTAATATTTAATTTTTATTTATTCATATTTTTTGTGGGTAAGTCAATTGTTTCCACACTAATATCATCATTCTCCCCTCCCCCGGATCTGGGGTCAGGAGAGAAACAAAGGGAGAAGCCCCACTCAACCTCCCACCCATCCCAGGTCCCCGATGTGGGGCACGCTCCAAGGGTCCTGCTCAAGCAGTTTTGATAGTTGAACAGTTCTGATTGCTGCCAATCTCACCATTCCAATCACAATGAAATCTATTCAGAATCCACTGGCTGACACAGTCTCTTCATGGTTGGGGTTCAGAGATCCACAGTTCAGTTGGAGGAATCTCCAAAGAAACTTCATCTGATGTGATCTCAGACCTGATTCTTGTGTGTGGTTGTCAGCACAGGGTCCGGCACAGTCCGTCACCCCAATCAGCTTATGAACATGCTGGTCATTGCAATTGCTGGGTCAGTTCTGTTTCCAGCCCTGTCTTCCATATGAACCGATGGGTGTTGCAGTCCAGCCTGATCCTGCTCACTTCATACTCAGCCCTCACACAGAACAGTGGGAGCTGTAGCCTAGTTGGGGGGGCTCCCCATAATCCCCACCAGGCCTGCCCCCTACCCTGGTCTCCATGCTTTCCAGTATGTACCACAGACTTGTTCAGTCTGTCCCACATCCCATTTAGCTCTCATACATGTCAATGGGCATTGAAGCTTAGTTCAACCCAACCAGCCCTACTATCCAGTCCACACACAGGCGGGTGCCTTTCTGTCTAGCCACCCCTGCTCCTGTCCTGGTTTTCATGCTCTCCAGTGGGAATGGTAACCCAAGAGGGAGATGCCCACTATTTTGCTACTAGGCCACCCCCACTCCCGGATTATGCACTCTCCAGGTGGTTCTGGAGTTAAACTTGACAGATTTAGCCCCCTGTGTGAGCCTCTGCCAGCCGATGCTTGTGGAAAAGCCCAACCAACCCTCACCCACTCTAATATTTTGCTTGTACCAATCGGAATACTCAGCCTAACCTGACTTTTCCCTGATCTAGCTCACATGAGGCCCACAGGTGTCATAGCCCTGCCTGGTCTGGTCTACCCCCATCCCAGTACACGCTCTCTAGTGGGAGTTGTTGTCTAGCAGGGGAGACCACATTCCCCCTGCCGGCTTTGCCCCCTCCCTCCCTGGTTCTCAAGTGTGCTGTTTGGGTGCTGCGGCCACAACTGGTACAGCTCACCTCACCTTGGCATTCTGTAATGTGCACTGGTTTGTGTTGCGGCCAAACAGGGCCCAACCCACACTATTCTGGTGCTCGGATTCACCAGTGGGGTTCAGCCTGGTCTGCCCCCAACCTATGTCAAAATGGCGGGAGTAACTATGACTCTCTTAAGGTAGCCAAATGCCTCGTCATCTAATTAGTGACGCGCATGAATGGATGAACGAGATTCCCACTGCCCTTACCTACTATCCAGCGAAACCACAGCCAAGGGAACGGGCTTGGCGGAATCAGCGGGGAAAGAAGACCCTGTTGAGCTTGACTCTAGTCTGGCCCATTACCACCCCAGCCTGAGAGCTAACCTGCGGGCCTTGTATTTCTACAGGGTTGGACCCACACTTCCCCCCACAGAATCTACCCCCAGACCTGGTTCTCTCGTGTGCTGGTTAGTGTCTTGACCCTGCCAAGTGTGACCCATCCACTGTTCCACCACCCAGTCAGGTACTGGTACCTAGCCTTACCAGACAGGCCCCCATCCATAGCTTTCATGTGGACTGGTGTGTGGCAGTCAGTGATGCTCTATGCTAACAGCCCATCTCAGGATTCCCATGTGGACTGGTGAATCAGTTGAGCGAAATAGGTCTTATGAACTCTCCCCTCCAAACCACCAGGTCTCTGTCCCCATGCTTACCAGAAAGTTCCGTGACCCCATTGCTGAGAATCACCCAGAATTAATCTCTCACCTACACTCATACTGGCCTTATCCATGGGTGTTCCCAGGCAGCAATCATATATCCTAAAAATCCCAGGGCTCACCACCAGGCGGCCAGCAGGCAGAGCCTGGCACCATTAAGTGTGCTGGCCACCCAAAGCCTAGGACTCAGTCACTGCTTTTTGGCAGTGACTTTGGCCTGAGTCCCCACCATTGGGTCTGGCCTGGCTGGGGCACCCCCACAGCCACCACACTGAAGTGAGCTGCTTTTGCCTTAACCCCATGGCTGAACCCCACCCAAACTCCTCCTGCCTCAAGATGTTAGTGGCAAGGTAGAGCCTTAGTCCAGTTCCCAAGTTTCCCTCATGGTGTACTTACCCTGAGGGAAGAGATCTTTCGGGCCTGGAGAAAGCCTAGGGCACAGTCACTGCCTTTCAGCAGTGGCTTTGGCCTGAGTCCCCAGCACTGGGTCCGGCCTGGCTGGGGTATCTCTCACTGTCTTCATCTTTTAAAAAATGCACTCTATTCTGACAATGATTTTCAATTCCTTTTGGGAGCAAGATAGATTGTGAAAAAGAAAATAGAAAAAAAAACTGGTTAATACTGCAAAGCTACACTAATTAAGACTAACATGAAGACAGACATATAGACCTGGGAGTCCAGAAATAACTCTTCGATTTCTAATCCACTGATTTAAAAACAAAAAAAACAAAACAAAAACATTTAGTTGTTTGAAAGGCAGAGAAACAGAGGAAGAAGATATGGAATCTCTTCAGATCTCTAAAGATCTCTTTAGATCTTTCATCCATTGGCCCACTGCCCAAATGCCCATGTCAGCCAGGGGTGAGTCAAGGCCAATGCCAGAAGTCAGGAACTATATGTGGGTCTCCCAGGTGAGCAGCAGGAACTCAAGAACTTAGGCTGTCAGCTGTTGCCTTCCATGGATGCATGAGCCAGAAGCTGGATTGGAAAATAGAGTAGCCAGACCTCAAGCTGGCACTCCAAAAAGGGATGAAGCCCATACTGGCTGTGCCATAAAGCCCCCTCCTGAAGTTCAACAAGGCTGCCAGGGTCTTCTCCATAAACAGCACCTGAACAATAGGACTTCCACATGAGAAAAAAACAAAGCTGAATCCCTACCTCACACCTCACAGTTCAAACAGCCCAAAGACTTTAACCTAAGAGCCAAAATTCTTAAACCCTTAGAAATACACATGAGGATACATCTTGGAGTAGGCAATAGTTTTCTTGGAGACACACCAAAATGACCAAAGTAAAATAAACTGACTTTCATCAAAATTATAAGCATTTGTGCCTCATGGGATAGCACTGAGAGCGAAAAACTAACCCACAGATTGGAAGAATACATTTGCAAACTATCTTATCTGATAAGGAAGTTTGCATCCAGAATTTAGAAGGCAGTCTTCCAGCTCAACAGCAAAAAGATAATCAAATTTAAAAATGGGGGAAAGATGGGTAGGCATTTCTCCAAAGGAGATGCACAAATGGCCAATCAGGACATGGAAAGATGTTGAGTGTATCAGACTTTAGGGAAATGCAAATCAAAGCATCACATAACCACTTCATGCCAGCAAGAAAAACACAGGCGATGAACAGTGTCAGGGAAGACAGAAGCAGCGGGAACCTCACACAGTTGGATGGCCTACCCTCTTTGGAAAACAACTTGACAATGCCTCAAAAAGTTCAACAATATGTTTCCAGATGACCCAGTCACTTCACTCCCAAATGTTTACCCAAGATAAATGAAGGCATACATCCACCTGCTCAGAACGCTTGGACACAAATGTTCACAGGAGTACTGTTGACACCAGCCAAAACAGATAAATAGTGCTCGTGTCTACCCACTGAAGAATGGAGCAAAAAAAAAAAGGTGGCATAGCTGTGCAATGGAGTAACATACAGTCATCAAAAAGAACAGGGCATAAATGTGACAGCATGGAATATCTTGAGAACATGGCTTTAGGTGCAAGATGTCACAGAAGAGCACAGATACATCTGCTTGCATAGATATACAAAATGTGAAAAAAAAAAAAAAAGGCAAATCCAGAGAGCTAGTGGTTGGGAAGGATGGATAGAGTGGGGATTGTGAACAGGTATGAGGTTTTCGACTAGAGTGATGAGGATACTCTAAAATTAGTGATGAGCAAATACTAATACAAATTAGCATTTGAATACATCAAATACTACTGACTTGAACATCCTGAAACTGTGAGCTTTACAGTGTATAAAGTATAAGCTATTTTCCAAAGGACTGGTTAAGCAGAGTCTAGACTTGTGCTAGCAGTAGTAAACTGAAGTGGGTTTCTTTCTTGCAACAACCGCCCCGTGGTAACAGAAGACGTCAGGAAATCAGGGTAAGGAGCAGGTTGAAACTCCACACTGTCTCTGGGTTTTCTGTAGACTTACAGGAACTCTAAGAGGAAGAGCTTCTGCAAAGGAAAGGTGGATCACAGACTCTGTCCTGTCCTTCTGTGCCTATGTGGCTTGTAGACAGGA